CCCCCAAAAAACGACCAGGACGTCTTTTCAGGGGGGAATTAATTTATCCCCCCCCCCCCCCCCCGCGCACCAGCACCGTCTCCAAGAACAGCGTCTGAGTCGCTCCCGCTTTTCCCCCGTCCCCGTAACAGGAAAAAAACAACCATTTTGAGGTACCTGGGAGCGCCGTGTGCTGCGTTTTGGTTTAATCCTGAGCGACTGGGTGGGCGTGAGAAGAGCCGAGCGAGCGTCTCTGCTGCTGCTACCCTTGGTGCTCCAGCCTCGGGCTCTGCAAGTTTGCAAAAGTCCCGGTGTGCAACCCGTTCCTGCATTCCAAGCGCCCAGCACCAAGGGTAGCAGCAGCAGAGACGCTCGCTCGGCTCTTCTCATGCCCACCCCGTCGCTCGGGATTAAACCAAAACGCAGCGCACGGCGCTCCCAGGTACCTCAAAATGTTTTTTTTTCTGTTGTTACGGGGACGGGGGGAAAGCGGGAGCGACTCAGACGCTGTTCTTGGAGACGGTGCTGGCGACAGAGGCGCCAGCACCAGTGGGAACCGTGGAAGCTACGGAGGACTGAGAAGTGGCTGAAACACTGCCGGGCATCCACGCCGATGCCGCCCGCCTGCTGACCCGGGTAAGGGAGCCCTCTGTGCTCCACCATGGTGTTAGGAGTGGCTGATGAGTGAGGCGTAGCTGCCCACTGGGCACTCCTAATGGCAAGTTCCCCCCCCCCCGCCTTCCCCCCCAATTTCGCATGTTTTAAACTAGGCCTAAATTTGGGGGGAGGGACTTAATTGGGGGGCGTATTGTTGGAGAAACACGGTAGTTTCGAACTGTTCTGTTCTTTGAGCTTTTTAATACTTTTTATAATTAATAACTAATTTTATGCATTTATGTACTGATTTAGTTTTAATGTATGCTGCCCAGAGTCACTTTTGGCAATATGGGCAGCTTCATAAATTTGACAAATAAAATAAAATATTCTATAAAATCTAAAAACAAATTGTGTTGCTAACAGTAATTAAAATATGTAAATTTTCAAAGGTTATTTTTTCCCTAAACAAAACATTCAGGTTTAGAAAATATAAAATGCTTATGCACAATGACTAAGCAAAAGTGCACAGATTAAAGATTATGCCTGATCACCAATTCATAAAAGGTTAAGGAAGTGCATTCAAAGAAGTTACACAAGACTGACATGCAAACATGAGAGCCAAATTCTGCCCTTGAATCAGTATTGATAATGAAACACTCAAGAGAATGGAGCAATAGTGTTAAGGATAAAAAACAACTATCCAGTGCTTTAAGATTTAATCTTAACCAACTGAAACCAGAAAACAAGTTACTTTGCTTAAGTTTACTTACACATTTCAGACCCAAGAGTCATGGATGCCAAACACTCAAAATTTTAACAGTTTGGTAACAGCTACTGCATTAATAATTTTACCAAAAGCCTGAGAAAACAAACTAAGGACATATTTGCTCCCTGTGCCATTTTCTTACATAGGGACATTTTTAATAGAAAAAAATCCACTTGTTAATGGATCTAAAATTAACCCAAATATGTAATATTTTGCTCTAGAAGTAAAAGGTAAACATGTACTGTGCTGTTACATTGAATGCACATAAATATCAAGAGTTAGTAGGATTAACTTAGGCATTCAGTGGGTTTTAGGTGAAAATCTCTGGGGCTAAATTTAGGAACCCAAGTGAAAATAATTAAGTGTACAGTAGAATTTTGTCCTCCTTTAGGATTAACCAGCTTTCCCAAACTGTACTATCAATGCACTGTTTCCCTTAAGGCAAAGTAGATATCTAATAAGATCTATGGCATAACTATATGTTCTGGGGGGGGGGGGGTCATTAAAAACAGCCACATATATAAATTCTCACATAGAATAAAAATGCAATTATTTTCTTTATTCAAAATATTTCTACATGCGGTGTTTTGGAATTCAAAACTACTCACTCCATACTCTTAGTGATAGCAAAGTATTTTTCTTCAAAGATAAACTATGTCTTCAAAATTAATACACATGAGATATCCATTCATTCTGTACTATACTAGAGAGTTGTACAATTATTGGTTGAAAAACAATTTCATGGTTGTTAAAAGCAGTAAGAAACCTGGAATCTATCTGACCCTATCTGATGCAGCCATTTCTGGTTCAATATATGTAGGACAACTGCCAGAACCGCCCAGCCCTGGAAAGAATTTCAAAGTTCCCCCAACCTTGGAAAATTACAAAGCAAGGTCTAACCATTTTGTTCAGAAAGAATGCTGACATCAGGTTCAAAGACTGTATTTTGGCAGCTGCCCCCACCCCCAATGCAAACTCCAAAAGTCAGTTCAAAAAGATTAGGAAACTAAGTTGTAGTTTTTAACATGACAGAATGGGGAGGAAAACTCAAGTATATGGGAAGTAAAAAATCAACTGTACTGAATTAAAGATTACACTTTCTCAGGCCACCCTCACTTTGGAATGCAGCTGTATGTAACCTTTGGCCTAAAAAAAGCCACTTGTGCTTTCCAGTTTCAAGACATGGTTTGCAATGCAGTACACTCTTTAGAAATGATTTAAGAGAAATGCTTTAACCCTCATGCTGGAGCAGGATATCTTATTTGAAAAATCCTGACTTTAACCCTTTAACCCTTCTTCATCAGCCCAGAAAGATAGCTATTATATTATTATATACTGCTCCTCAGGTTAATATGTTTTGAAATATAATCCAAAGGAGAAGACAAGATTTATAACCAAGAATAAAAAACCTGGATTTAAATGCAGAAAAGGATTTTCTTGAGAGATCTGCTAATATATATATACAGTATAAGCCATAGGTACTCTAGGACAGGGGTCTCCAAATACTTGGCAACTTTAAGTGTTGTGGACTTCAACTCCTAGAATTCCTCAGCCAGCTGGCTGAGGAATTCTGGGAGTTGAAGTCCACAAGTCTTAAAGTTGCCAAGGTTGGAGACCCCTGTTCTATCTAGGAGGATGCAACCTTGAAAGTTCTTCAAAATTACCGTAACACTGTGAATTTTAATATGACAAAAAGAGCAAATGATTAAACATAATGGGGACTAAACTTATTTAAATGGATTTAATTTAACCTGTGGTTACTGTGCCTTAAAATTAAATTAAGTTTTTTATCCTTGACCTGCTCATGATTACTGACATTTTTGAAAGATCAAAGGTACTGTTGTATTGTATGACAGGATCTAAAAGCCAGCAAGATGGCATCCAGTTCAATCCAGTTCTCTATACCTTTTCCTCAAATTCACCCTGCTTACCCCAACCTTTTCCCTATATATCTTATACCAAATAACAGAGATTTCAAAGGTAAACATTTCTCTTTGGCAACTATTTAACAAACAAACAAAAAACCAGTGGATTGAGATATATATGGACTGCACATAAACAGGTATGCCAATAGTTTCCAAAGATGCTGTTTCCTGAAAATTCTATTGTACCTAGAATTTGTGTGGAAGATTTTCAGTATATTAGCATTATTCACAACATAGGTCTGAAATACAAGTAGTCCTCTACTTACAACAGTTCATTTAGTGACCGTTCAAAATTACAAGCGCACTGAAAAAAGTGACTTATGACTGTTTTTCACACGACTGTTGCAGCAACTGGTTCATATCTTTGACAGTTGCAGCATCCTGGGCTCATGTGATCAGCAAAGTCAATGGGGAAGCCAGATTTATTTAACAACCATATTAACTTAACTGTAATGATTCACGTAACTGTGGGAAAAGGTCGTAAAATGAGGCAAAACTCACTTAACAAATGTCTCACTCAGCAACATAAATTTTGGACTCAATTGTTAAGTTGAGCACTACCTGAAATAAGCTGGCTATTATTCCATACAAACTGATAGATGCAGCTGTGGATTTACAAATACATGATGTCAACACTGCGGTCTTTGAAACAAGATTATTCCATTCTTTCTTAACAATGCCATTAAATCGATCCATCTCAGCATGCATTTCTACTAACAACACCATAAAAACTACCCTAACCACACTTCTTTCTCCAGCCCAGAAAAACTATAAGTAGAATTTCAGTTTAACTCAGCAAACCCAGAACAGAGTCCCTGAGAAATGGCACCATAAGTATGCAGAAGGCTAAGCTAACCTGGTAACAATACCTACTAATTTTATCATTCTCCAGCCCAGAAGATAAGAGAATTGAGAACTATATTGTCCTATTTACATTAGGCATACTTTATATTTCTCGTTATTGGATAACCCAACTTGGCAACATATTATTCTTATCTTAGGTATAATTATTTCTTCTTTTGTATGAAAACTATTTCGCATGCAGGGAATTCAATGCATTTTTAAAAATATATTTCATAGATATAATACAGTTAACTAATGAAAAGTTCCAAAACTTTAAGAAATCTTATCAAGAGTTGAAAATTTGATGTCCTATGTTATACACAGCCAGTCCAAGATAGAAGCAAATGAGATAATCTTTGCTATGAAACCTGTGAGGCCAAGATTAGATTTGAGATATGTTAGCAACTGTGTAGGTTTCTATGTATTAACTATTAGGTAAGCAACATGTATAATGTCACTGGCTTATTAATCTTACGTATTGCTTAAATATGCCTATTTGTATTGCAATTTGATGGGTCAGAGTATACAAACAAGTTTTAGATCTAACCAATGCAATAGTTCACACCAGGTAACCAGTGGAGTGAGTCTATATTCATTTCCTCTACTTAACCAACATATATAGCTTAATCTTATAATTTATGCTGGGTAGGTAGCATAAATGAAAACAAAATTTTACATGTTATAGCTGCAGATATTCACATATAAGCAAATACATTTCAACAGAATGAATCAGCTTGATAGCTATATCTACTCTCAAACATGTGAACAAATGGTATGTTTTGCCCAGCTTGAGTTTTTTTATGCATTTTAGATTGAGTCACAATTATCATTTTCCCAATCTCCATCTTCCACTATCTCTGCTACACAATTATTAAAAAACCGCATACATATTACTGCAAAATGATGACTTGTCTTTAATCCTTCTCCATTACAAGAAACACATTGCTCAACCATTTATCTATGAAGATCTGGTAAGTGAAAGGTGCATTACTTAATGGAAGCAAACAAAGGATTTTGTTTCATCATAGCAAATCCTACAATTTTAGCAATCTTGCTTTTCTCAATTATAACTGGCTTTTTCTACAATATCACTTTTATTCCACAAATACGTCCCGGTATTAATTTCAAATAAACAATATAATCCGTTGTTTTAAAATACTGTGGTTTTTTTTTACAACGCAAGCACCTTGATGTACTTAAAGCAGCCACCACTAGACTGATGCAACAGCTTCCCAACTGAAGCTAAAGATTGTCAGTTTGAACCCTGGCACAGGCAAAGCCTTACTTTTCATTAAACATGCAGAATCTTGAAAACCTCCCAAACCTAATCAGTGCCACCGTTAATTCTTTCCTGCAACTTTAGCAGCACGTTAATAGCGGTCAGCAATCCTCTCTAATCCCATTCCAGCTCTATATACTCACTTCTTCTAAAAACTTTGTGAGATCGTATATACGACGGTTTATAATAATCCAAGTACTCTGGCTATGATTGTGTTTCTGGACTTCCTCGAGCTTGTAATAGGAACCCCGCCACGGTTCTTTCTCAGACTTGTCGCCGCTGGACTTCGTCATCGCCGCTTGGTTCTGTCCCCTTTTTCGCCTTTGGCAACGCAAACTCAGACTTCCACGCGAAGCGGCAGCACCAGCAACCAGAACGGCGGAACTGAAACGCGCAATAACCTATAAGCCTCTCACCTCACGCAAGCGCAGATAAAGTCCTTACGTGAGCAACCCTTAAATTGCACGCTTGAGGGGCGGGGGCAAAATAGCCTTGTCGGCTTCTTATTGGTTGACTGGCTGCTGCTGGGTTGGTTTTCTGAATCAACGCTGTGAGATTCCAAGAAAATCTTGCTTTCTTACGCCAGAAGAGAAGGGGAGGAGCAATTGACGAAAGTAATATAGAGATAAAACTCGTGCAAAGAGCAGAGACGACGAAGCAGAAAACGGAACCTGGGGATGGGAATTATAAAGTGTACCACAGATATTACTTCGACCGTGGGAAACAAACTGTTTATCTGTTATCAAATGGCATGTTAATTTGTTTCTGGTGTTGCAAAATGTTTTTTGCACGTTTGATATAATACTGATGGAAAGTTGTTCAATGAATATTTGTGGTACATTAAAGTATATCAAAAGCCAACTGCATTGTCCACAAAAGATTATCACTAATAAAAGTAATTTTTGCTGAGAGGTGTGGTTCTTTTTTTATTTTTATTTTTATTTCTAGGTGGGTATAAATTTGGCTGTTCAAAGTTGATGTAAATTTGTGATTGATGTAAACTTTTGTGTCTAAGTTGAACAGTAGTGGCATAGAATCACCTAAAGACTTTATTGTTATCTCTATATTTATTTATTTATTTATTACATTTATATGACTCCCATCTCGTTAACAAGTGACTCTAGACAGCTTACAACATGATGCTTTCTAACACCATCATTTATACAACAAATATCTCACTATGGCCAGACTCTTCATGGTTGAATGATAATTTCTTTAAACCAATTACACACCTGCATTTTCCTGATACTTTATTGCAATGTAAGTAGTGATGTTGAAATGTGGACAAACTGTTACAGCACAAAGACTAATATGGCAATGACTTGGGTTTAATATCTTCTCAAATACAACTTTTTAAAGCTGCAAATTCTCAGATAACAGGCTTTGTTTTCAAGAGTAATAAATCAGACAAAACATTCTGGCACAAGAAAAAATAAAAGGCAAAAAGATGCAAAATCTGGCTTCCCTGGGTATTTTGAATATTTCCAATACCAATCCCACTTTTTTGATGGGCCGCAAAGTGAGTGAAATAGGATGAGAAAAACCTGAAATGTAAATTCAGTATAACTTTCTTGTGGGACAGCAGAAAGTTTCAACTTTCTTCAACCTTTCAAATTTTGGGGACAAATTTGTGACATTTTACCACAATTAACAGAGCTAAAAGTATCTGCTCACATGTAGTTATGTATTTGCACAATAGGTAACTTTGTTTAGTCTTGTTATTTGAACTGCATAGGGCACAAACATAGTTTTGAACTAGAATTATCCCACTTTATATGTGCTACAGTTTTCCAAAATCCTGATAATGCAGTCCACTATGATCAAGCTGAACAGTTGGTGGACTGTCAAAACATGTGAAAATCAAAAATAGCTGCTCCGATTTAGAAAAAATAAAATAAACCCAATCTTCTTACAGTTGGACAATATCTTTATTCGGGAATAAAGCTCAAAACAAACTTCTGAATAGTTAGTTACCTGCCCTATCACTCAGGATAATCAGAGATTACAGAAATTAAAATATGTTTTAATTTCTATATGTTTTTACGGAGGCGCCTCATATTTATTTCCTCGTGGCACTAAAACCATCTGTTCAGCAGTTCGACAGCAATTACGTAATCTACTGTAACGTCAGAATCAGATTTAAGATCTTCTTAAAAGCCGGGACATTTTCCCCTCTACAAATCAGAAGGAAAAGGGTTGCGTAATCCCGTTTTCTGTCTCCAACTCCGGCGTGCCTCTAGGCTGCCCCAAAGGCTGAAGGTTATCACGTGCTGGTGAACTTTGGACCGGCAACTCAGCCGAATCCGGGGTTGCGATACTAGTCAGCGCCCATCTTTCCGCGGCATTGAATTGCACGACAGATCCTTTTGCTAAACATACTTGTACATACATACATCGCCATACATTCGCTTTTGCTAAATCACGTGCGTACTTTTCCTCTCTTCTTGAGCGTTTCGGGGCATAACAGAAAAACGTGAAGTGCAAGGAAACAAAAAGACGGATTTTTAAAGTCAAATCGACGACTTTCCCCGCGTGGTTTGCTCCTTCTCTGCGCCTTTGTCTTTCACTCCTGCTTCTGCCTTTATTGCCCATCTCCATTGTGCGCCGTTCCAGGCGTCCTTTCTCTTGCCTCACAACATTTTCCCGCGGTTTTTTTTTTTTTTTTAAGATAACCTGTTTCTTGTCTACATATTTTTCCCAGCGTTTTGGAGCTGGAGAAATCGTACAAGTAATATGGCCTACTGCGTTTCCTAACTGAGATCGTTCTTCAGTGGCAGTTTTCCTATAGTAACATGACTTTTCAGACAGTTGTGACTCATCCATCAACTTGATATAGTCTTTAAATGGATTTCATAATCTCCATGCAGAACATGTTCTTCTAGTCAAACTAGGCTACTTAGGCACTTGATGCCTTACTTAGTGGAATATTTATTTATGTGACAAGTTCCCAAAAGTACATCATTTGCTCTCTTTTTCAGCATTAAAGACTGTGAGAAGATTGATGATATAAAGCAGAAGGAAGGTTTTGCTCCCGTTAAACCTGTGGTGACTCAGCCATATTAAAACAAATATTAATTGCTTAGATTTCCTCTGGTCAACAAATATATTTGATGAACAAAACGCTCCCAGCTTATCTTGTAGGAAGAGAAACAAAAGCTATGTGGTATAGTTAGTGTTTTTCAGGTTTTCCCAGGCTGTCAGGTTTAGGCCTGGAGACAAAAAAGGTTAAAGCAACTCTAAAGTAGCAGTTCTAAGGTTACCATATTTTGTAATAATCATGGAGGGGGGGGAGAATGAGTGGTTTCCATCACGTTTTTCTCTCACACCTTTGAGAAAAAAATATTTCTGACATTCTAAGTATTCTGCCCTTTTAACTTTTTAGATGAAATAATTATTTTAAGACAGTCAAATCAACTTTGCTTCAGTTTTTAAAATCTGTGTGGTAAGACCTGCAGATAGAAATTATGACTGAAAATGGTAGCTATAAATATAGTAGCATCAACATAAGTTATTTATTTTTTATTTATTACTTGGTCTTATATTCTAGTTAATTTCCAATAGGGTTATCAAACTTCAAGCAATTTGTCTTCATGTCTCCAGCGGGCATAGCATAATTAAATACTGTTCAGCTTTTCAGATATCTAACTTGATATCTCTTCCTGAGCATCCTTTGTCCTTGGTGCAGCACTTCCCTAATAAGTGTTGGGCAAAGTTAACAAACTCAGCTTTGTGACCTTAATTAAATTATTAGTACTTTCCAGCCAATTACACTGCTTCCTGAAATTATAGGATCTTAATCTGTTACACCCTGAAAACTTTTGTTTCCTAAGAGGCCCTAATGCATTTCTGTGATTGAAAAACCAGTCTTATCTGTTGTAGAACCTGGGGGCATTTACAACCGTTTGCATGTTCACAACTGGCTTTCAACAAGCAGAGTCAATGGAGAAGCCAGCAGTAAAATTGCAACTTGAAGTAATATCATGCTTAATAACCACAGCAGAACTGATGTCATAAAATCAATACAATCACATGATGTCTCACTTAACAACCATGTTGCATGTGATGGAGTTGCTGGTACCAGTTGTGATTGTTAAGTGAAGACTACTTATATCTATATAGTACAGGTAGACCTCAACTTACAACAGGAATTGAGTTTGGAATTTCCATCACTTAGTGCCACTGTCATAAATTATGATGGCATTGCTTAGCAACAGCAATTCCTGCAGGCCCAGTTGCCATCGTTAACCACATCCCATGGTCATTAAGCAAAGCAACCTCCTGCTTGCTTCTCACAACCAAGTCAATGGGTTACCTTTAGTACTAGCTTTATGAGTTGAAGAATAGGACTTGCTTCTGAATAGTTATAATATATACTTTGAGCCATTTGCAAAGAATTTCAAAATGTCATATACTGAAGTACTAATGGGATTTATTAAAATGATCCAATTTAGGCATAGAATAAGATAACAAGAATGTTTTGGCTTAGAACACCATGTTTCATATTGATAAGTACTACACTCAAACATCCAACTTCACTATCAAAGAGAATGACATTAAAAATAGCTTTCTAATAGCTTGAATTGTATCATATCTTTACATCTTTTTGACAACCACATTTTTATATTACAGATTGGATTACTTTCTCATGGTTAGCAAAACAAAATGAATGATGTTAGAAGTCAGTCACTGTTTTTCAGCAGTCTGCCTGAACTGCAGAAGCTTTATGCTTTGAAGATTACATTGAGTTCTCAACTGGCAGCAACTGAAGTTAGAACGGAACAATGGAAGATGTGCAAGTAAAATTTGTAATAGATTAAGTTTTAAAAAGTATAAAATACAGGATGACACATTGCTTAGGTTTACCATATTTTGATTAAAAGCATTGTCAGCACAGAATCTGACTTAATTACACCCTTCTTCCTGAAATCTGAAAGGCATACACCAGATGACAGGCAGACCAATGATGGTGAAACTATGACCCATGTTTCAAAGGTGACATGCCATGACGTTTGGGTGACATACCAGCATTCATGAACACTTGAAAACAACTGTTCTCGAAAGCATGCCCCTTTCTGTCATGGAGTGATGCTGCAGAGGCCACATGAGAATGGGGTCTTTAGATGCGGGCTGTCAAATTCCTGGCCCATGGGCCAGATGCATCACATGCTGGCCACACCCACGCCTGGTTTAAGGAAGGGGAGAAAGTCCCAATACGTCACCTGATGCTACCGTGACATGAGTTTGACACCCCTGCTCTAGACTCTCCAAAAATAAGTTCGTTTTACACGTATTTAAATTTTGTATTTATTTATACAATACAAACATCATTGGCATGTTTTTAATTAATGTACATTTTTTAAAAAATGTTTCCCTTTTGTTTGGGATATCTGTGTGAGAGAGACATGCCACCAGAGTCAAGTTAGGCATTTTCCAAATACTTGACAAACCAAGGTTTGCCATCACATTCCTGTGAAGCCTTGAAAATCCAGTTTTAATACAAGCACTGAAGTAGAGTGAGATTGAAGCCAGTAAAATTTTTGTTAAAGGGGAGGGATGATATGGGGAGTTTTTATACTTTTACTGCATTTATTGCTGTTTGTAAGCCACCCAGAATTATGATGCTTAAAATGAACAGCTGTTATAATTAATAGAAATAAAGCTTTGCATTGATTATGCCTGATGACATAAAGAAGGACTCTTGTTCTGTCAATGTTAAGTTGCATTTGAAGCATAACATGTTAGTCGTAGCTCAAACTGTAGCAATTCTTTCATTTGCATACTTAAATACAGTTCATATTTTAACAGTCTACCTCACAGGTGTCAAACTCACAGCGTCATATTGCTGTCACGGGATATTCTGTGGTGTTTTCCCCTTCGTGGAGCTTGGGTAGACATGGCCTGAGCATGACTAATCCGGCCCTCAGGCCAGATGTGATATTCAGCAGGTTCTGACCAGTTCTGGAGAACCGGTAGCAGAAATTTTGAGTAGTTCGTAGAACCAGTAGTTCGTAGAACCAGTGAATACCACCTCTGATTGGAGATTTTACAGCATCCTTCCCCTGCCACCAAGCCACGCCCACAGAACCGGTAGTAAAAAAATTGAATCCCACCACTGCCACAGACCGCCAGTTTGACACCTACCTGATTGCAAGTAGAATTTGATGCTTTTGTTATGATAAAAGATTTTTTACCTTTACGATTGAACTCAGCTTTATAATTGCAGATATTTAAAAAAAACCAGCAAAAATAAAGCTTTTATTTTAAAAACCTAGTCTCTTTTATAATGGTATAAATGTCTCATGTGAAGAGGAATCTCCAAATTCAGTTTCAGGTTCAATTTAAGTAAATGTTATTCCAATTCTACTTTCAATAGAATAACTGGCACATCAATTTTTGCTATCCAGTGCTGGCATAGTTTTAGAACTGGACCAGTAGGATTTGCATACAATCCTATGTCAGGATTTTTATATTTGGGGGATGGCTGATAGGCCATTATATTAGAAATCATTTTGGTGAGCTATGTAGTTAAATGGCTAATTGTAGTAAAGACACTGGTAAATGGCAATACTTTATTTCCTTTCCTTTTTCTGTGTGACCTGTTATATGGTAGAAGCTGAATATGGTTGAACATGGTAGAATAATGAGAACAGCAGAGTAACAGTTCATTAGAACAAAGTTCTTTTTTATTTTTGTTTATTTTCTATGTCTTATGATGTTTGCTTTTATTATTAGGAGAAGTTTAAGCTGTTAAAGATTTTTTAAAAACTCTACTAAAAGGGGTTAGGATTTTTCCCCTTCAGGGATAAAACTTTGAGGGCTGGAATGCTATCATTGTGATTCTTAATTTGGGAGGCAAGGGCCATTGATTTTAATGCTTGTGGAAGCATTCCAAACTTAGTAAGGTCAAGAAAAAGAAGTAGGCCAAATTAGTTTAATAGTAAATTAGTAAATAAATTTAATATATTATCATTTGTATGATTACCTGTTTATTTTTATTACCTTCCTCTCTTGTCAAAGAAAAAAATATTTGTTAGCAAGTTTTAAAGATTCCATGCCTTATATACAAATCTTAATTAAAAGTATAAAATTATTAAGATTAATGACAAGCTTTTAATATTTTACCTAGGCAACTCCTGCTGCTGTGTCAAGGTATCATTTCTTCACCTGTTCCTGGAACACTGAATCAAATTTTAGTAATTATGACGGTCAGAAATATTAAATGTTACTAATTAAAAATAATAAAAAGAATTTCAGTTTATGCAGCTTAAAAATGTATAGTTTAGTCAATAGGAAGTTCTCACATATCTCTCACATAGAGTGCTTTGTTTCAAAAAGCATTTTTCCCTTTTAGCCTACTGAAGGTAAGCAGATATGTATTTCACACCCTCAATTTATACTAAATTGATAAAAAAGATCTAAGAACTTATCAATATTTATCATAACATATTTTATCTACTATAAAATACACCTGATCAGCCTTTTATTTTTCTTTATTCATCAACAGGAAACAATACTATTTTTGTTCTTCATATGCCCTTTCAGTCTTCCTCTCCCTTGCGTGTTAGATGTCTCCTGAATTTCATCTTGTCCTCCATAAGTAAACAAAATGACTAGGTGGATTGCTTTTATGTTGGTTTTATTTCCCAAATCCTGATTGCAGGAACATTTTGCTCAACTTCTGCTGCAATTTAAGATGTTAAGGAAGGAATATGTCTAAGTTTGTCATGAAAACCAATCTTAATGCTTCTGATTGATTTTATAATCCCTGTTAATGTTATATTTGATTTTATCTGAAAATTGCAATGTTCTTTTTATAATAATTATATTAAGTTTTAATCTTAATATTATTGCACTTATACTTTATAAGATTATACAGTAAAAACCAATACAAACTTGAAAAAAGAGCAAAAGATGCAAAAAAGGAAAGGATAATAAGAATATATTAAAGAAAAATAAAAGAAATATATAAAGAAGTGGCTTCTCATCTATTCTCACAATAAGTAGAAACAAGTTTAGCAACTTATCGCCTCTTAAAATACAACAGATGAGTTTTTCTTCCCATAAATCATCTCTTATCTATAAACAAATATATAAAGCATTGTTACTTCAGTCTCCAGCAAAAGTCTTTTAAGGGTTAGCAGAAAAAAAATAACATCTGTTTTAACCTTGATCAGATAAACCAACTTTATATTCCTTCCATTTCTCCATATTAGTTTGTGTCCATTCAAATAATGTTGTAGAACTGGATATCTTTTCATTTTTTCTTTGTTCCTTCTCTTGACTTTCTTTGAAACTTTAACAAACTGATTTGTAAATCCAAATATATTTTTCCTCCATAACATATTTTAGACATAAAGTTTCCATGTAGGCAGCTATCACTGTTAATGCTAACATCAGAATCCATGTTTCAAAAATATCCTTCATTATATCCAATGTTAGAATATTTTGCATCATTCTGTAATTATTGGTTGAGTTTGTGTTGTCCTTTAATTTTCATCTTTGGTTCCCTCTAGAGTCCAGTTGTTTAAATCTTACGTTTTTTAAAAGTTCAAAACAAAAGCATTTTCCTATGGGAAGAATTCTTTATAATTAATTTCAAAATCTTATTTAAAATTATTTGTACCCTTAACTGTTTATAACTTTCTAAAATCAAAGTTTTAATCGGCTTTTTGCTGTTCATTAAAAAATGTTTTGTTACACTTGTAGCTGAAACTTACAAAGGATTAAAAAAAAACTCATCAGGTGCAATCAGACATGATTCAAAGGTTTCTAATAGCTGAAAAGCAGTTAACCAGAAATTTCCAAAAGTGATTAGAAAGGGAAGTATACATTACTTAATGTCCTTTCAAAGGTTCCAACCATGATTTAAGCAAGATGGCTATTCTGTCATCTCACAAAGCTCTAAATCCAAGGAACTGCTATCTAGAGTACTTGTATCCCACAATCATTTGTAGAGTTAGGGTTAGGGTTAGAGTTACTCCTCCAATTTACTAATTTCTGTCTGTTTGTCTGTCTGTCTATGCAGAGAGCCACATAAATGCATACAATGTGTTTGGAAGCAGGGAGTGAAAGTAAACTATTTGTTTTTTCATTTATGTGGTATGGGAATAAGAGGGTTTTTTCTGATTTCTGAGGCTGTGGTAGTAAAAGGTTTGAGTTTCATTTTTTAAAATTGCCCTATTGGTCACGCAGCTCAGAAGCAAATTAAAATTCAAATCATAATAAGGTTGCCTTCAAAGGTTGGCTTATGACAGACAGATGGTAGGGAAAAAGTGAAATCTCTCTTATGTGAATGTGCCCTGAATCTTATCACAACTTTGCATCAGTCAACCTGTTTATTCAATAGCTCCTCCCTATTTTTCTGTTCTTAAAGGCTACATTTTCGTAATTACAAATTTATATCTCAGAAGCTCTGATTTGTCTCTCTTGATTTTTTACATATTTTATGGAAGTTGTCTTTCAGATTAAAATGCTCAGTGATTTTGCATTTGGTTTCAATGTTGGACATGTTAACAGTAGTATTAAATGAGTTTCTTCTATTTGAGAAATGAGTTTCTTCTATTTTCTTCTAAATGAAAAACTGCCAAGGGCCTGTCCTATAGCAGAAACAATACCTTTCACTTGTATTTCCCAAAGGATTCATGTTTCAGAACGATTTATTCAAGAATAGGTAAAAGACAAAAAAAGAGTTTAAAGCGGAAATATATGCTGAAACTTATTTTTTGCTTGTTTTAGATACCCTTTTACAAATCAGGAACATTTCAAGTTTATGTGGACAAACATGGAGCTACAGTAAGTCATGAACATTATTTTTTCTGGTTGTTCTTCTACATACAAGATGTGTGTATATTGTTACAGGTTGTTGGAAAATTACATTTTATGTACTTAAATATGAAAAAATGGAATGCTTGTTTATTGTATCTGAGTTTTAGATATTTTAATTTCATTTTATGACATAATATGGGCATTTAGTTCAATGCAATTCATATCCTATATTGATGATATATTATTCCGCAAACTTGGCAATACTTTCTGTATCAACTTCATCTCCCAGATTTCTTAGCAATCAACATGCTAACTGGACAATTTATTTTTATTTTTTATTTATTTGATTTGTCAATCGCTTACAAGATACAGGTATAAGAATAAACATAGTTTTGAATACATGAGATAGATACTTATAAGAAAAATAAAATAAACAATAGGACAGGGACGGTAGACACGATTGGTGCGCTTATGCACGCCCCCTTCAGGCCTCTTAGGAAGGGGTGAGGTCAATAGTAGACAGTCTAAGGTTAAAGTTTTTGGGGTTTGGGGAAGAAACCATAGAGTCAGGTAGAGTATTCCAAACATTGACCACTCTGTTGCTGAAGTCTTTTTTTCTGAAGTCAAGTTTGGTGCGGTTAACCTTGAGTTTGTATCTATTGTTTGATCTTGTATTGTTATGGTTGAAGCTGAAGCATTCGTTTGCAGGTAGGACATTGCAATGTATGATTTTGTATACTATATTTAGATCGGACCGGAGGCGGCGTAGTTCTAGGTTTTCTAGGTCTAGAGTTTCAAGTCTGGTGGCATAAGGTATTCTGCAATGAGTAGAGGAGTGGAGAACTCTTCTTGTGAAATATTTCTGGACTTTTTCAATTGTGTTAATATCAGATACATGATATGGGTTCCAGACTGATGAGCTGTATTCAAATATAGGTCTAGCAAATGTTTTGCATGCTCCAGTTAGTAGTGTGATATTACCAGAGAAGAAGCTACGTAGGATTAGATTAACAATTCTTAATACCTTTTTGGCTATGTAGTTACAGTGGGCTCTAGCACTTAGATCATTAGAGATGAGTACTCCAAGGTCCTTGACAGAGTTTGGATCCTGAACAAGGTCTTGACTATTTAGCTTGTATTTTATTTTCTGATTTTTTTTTGCCAATATGTAAGACAGAGCATTTATTTGTTGAGATTTGAAGTTGCCACTCGATTGACCATTCTGATACATAGTCAAGGTCTTTTTGGAGGGTAGTAGTATTGTCTGTGGTGTTGAATAGCTTTACATCGTCAGCGAAGAGAACGCAATTGCTCTTAATATGATCACAGAGGTCATTTATGTAGAGTATGAAGAGAGTTGGTCCTAAAACACTGCCTTGGGGGACACCACTGTCGACAGGTACAGAATTTGATAGGACGCTCCCAATTTTGACCATTTGTTGTCTGTTTGACAGGAATGCTTCTATCCAGTTATGCAGGTGTCCAGAGATACCATAAGATTTTAGTTTTAGTAGTAGTTTTTCATGTACCAGTGAATCAAAGGCTTTACAGAAGTCTATGTAGATTGTGTCTATTGCTTTGCCCTGATCGAGTTGTGTAGTCCATATGTTTTTGCAGTGTAAGAGTTGCAGATTACAGGATAGTTTTTTTCTGAAACCAAATTGTTTATTAGAGAGTAGGTTGTTTGTCTCTAAGTGGAGGATAATAGATTGGTTAATAATTGATTCCATGACTTTACAGGTGATGCAGCATAAGGAGATTGGTCTGTAATTTTCAACTAGGCTGGAGTCTCCCTTTTTGAAGATGGAATGACCGTGGCTTGTGACCATAGGTTAGGCAAGGAGCTGGTCCTGAAAGATTTTTCAAAGATTATGCTTAGAGGTTCGGCTATGGCAGTGGATAGCTTTTTTAAGAAGTAGGCACATATTCCATCCAGTCCAATAGATAGGGATGATTTTAGATTGCGCAGTGCTTTTTCAACAATGTCTTCTGTAAAATCATTATGTATTAGATCATTGCTGTTTAGAAATACTGAGCCAAAGAATGTGTTAAAGAGGTTTGCTTTGATGGTGTCGTCACTGCAGTCTTTGCCATTAGGTCCTATCAGGGGTGGGATGGACCTTGAGTCTTTTAGTTTGTTGTTTACGAAATTTTAGAAAGCACGGGTGGAATTTGTGTGTAGAAGGTTTTCCTCTTGTTTAATGTGATAATTAGTGCATTCAGTTTTTATCTGGTGGCATAGATTTTTGTATCAGCTTTTGAAGTTGGCAACGTGACCAGATTTGTTTTTTCGCCAAAGTGATCTCTTTTTGGATTGAAGCTTCCTTATTGTTGTTGGTAATCTGTTTTTCCTGGTTTTGGGAGTTGTTATTGGTACATATAGTTTGATGGCTCTTTTGATTTCTAGTAAGAATATGTTGTAATTTTTTCAACAGTATTGCATCCAGAAATTGCCAATCAAGGGAAGAGAGATCGTTGATTATAAGTTCATAGTTGCCTTTTTTGAAGTTATAATTGGGGATTTTGTCATTGTGATTATTTTTGTGTGGATGTATGTTGAGACAAAAGTCAATCATGTTGTGGTCACTGTTGGAAAAGGGTTCTTTAATTTGTATTCCGTAAATTGAATTCAAACTATTGCAGAAGATGAGATCGAGGCAGTTGTTAAGTCTAGTGTTGTTGGTTACTAGTTGTTCCAGTACCAGATTCGTTACAGCATTGTAGAAGGTTGCATGTATGGGTTCAGTTGTACATTCATTTAGGGTCCAGTTAATATGAGGTAGATTGAAGTCACCAAGAAAGATAAAAGCATGTGGGCAGGATGCTGCTCATGTTAGTAGTGAATTTAGTTTGTTTACATGTTCGATGTCATAATCAGGGGCTCTGTAACATAGTAAGAACCGAAATGTTATATTTAAGATCAGTTCACAGATAGTGGTCTCAGGAAGAGCAAGCTGTTGGGTAACTTGGATGTTTTTTAAATCTAAGGACTTTTTATAGAAGATAGCAACACCACCACCTCTATGAATTTCACGATCAGATTGGTAAACATGATAGTCTCTTACTGAGATAATGGAGTCAAGGAGAGATGCGTTGAGCCATGTTTCACAGACAAACATAATGTCGAATTTAGCCGTATTTAGTAAGAGGAGAAATTCAAGGTATTTTATTTACAAGGCTTCTTGCATTGAGTAGCTTGCATTTAAGGCCAGTTGTAGTTTAAATTGAGGTAGTTTGGGGGGGGGTGCCTAGTCTTGGGCGATTGGTTGAAGTAGGGTTGGATGCTGAGTTGTGGGTTGTGTGACTTTCTTTTGATACAGTCTGCACGGTAATCAATGTACAGGTCCTTCTCTCCATTGTCTAGACCAGAGGTGGTATTCAGCAGGTTCTGACCAGTTCTGGAGAACCGGTAGCGGAAATTTGGAGTCGTTCGAGAACTGGCAAATACCCCCTCTGACTGGAGATTTTACAGCATCCTTCCCCTGCCATGCCCACCAAGCCACGCCCACAGAACTGGTAGTAAAAAAAATTTCAATCCCACCACTGGTCTAGACAATTTTTGAGTTCTGTGTGTAGTATACGGGAGCGGGAATGTTGCTGTAAGGTTAGGCCAGGATGAGATCAGAGGTTTTTATGGTTGGTAACTTAAATCCAAATATTTGGAAGCTGACCAAATTATGGAAAGTAGGTGTAAGTGATAGCAGATCTGATGTGCAGTGATTCCAAGTTAGTCTCCCAACCGTTCGGAGAACCATAAGAATAATCTTGTAATATAATTATGTCACTGTAAGGGGCTTGACCAAAGGTGTTATGCCTTTGAGGGAAGCAATAACAATTAAAAAGTGGGGAGCCTCTGGAAAACACTACCATTTTCAACCTTAAATTCATTACCTAAGCGTTTAAAGATGGCCTGAAACTGTGTTCCTGAAAATTGGCCATTGCTGGTAATTTTGGCATTGCAATTTTGGGGAAGAAAGGGTTGGAAATGGGGTGCTAGAGATATTACATGGTCCATGGCCATGAATTATCCAATCCTGATTTATAGGATCAAAGTGGACCTTTCTTTTTAAGCCATGCTAATAAGCTGTAATGACAAAGTAGCAAAAATATTATTGAGCATTTATAACTGTGTCAAACCTTGCACAGAACTTTTACTTAACTATGCATTCAGGTTGATCTGTGTACAAGAGTATCCATGATAAACTAAAAAATATATTTTAGGCCAGGGGTAGCAAACTCATGGCCCGCTGGCCGAATGCGTCATGAGCCCGCACCTGGTTTAGCGAAGGGGAAAAAAGTCCTGATACGTCACATGATGATGCGAGTTTGACACCCTGTCTTAGGCCATACACTCTATAGATGTTGGCCAAGATGGCTTTACTGAAAATTTGGTGACATACATCCATTCAGTGGTAATTTTATGCTTCATGAATAAAAATATAGGTCAATGAACAGGATGTCAAAGCCTAATGGATCAATCAGAAAATAATAATATATATGTTTTTCTTCCAATTGTGGTAGAAAATGTGTATATCATTTTTAAGAAGGAAGAATTACAAGAAAGTAAGATGGGAATACACTTTGAAAAGAGTGCTCTCAGGGCTGGGAGCCATGAGTGGGCTGTACAAATAGATCAGTGTATTTCTTATTGTGTGCCTACTTATTCTCTTGTAATCCCTTTCTCTCCAATCCAACAGACCTACTTGAGAGCTACTTATGACTCAGATTCAAAGTTTCATTGGTTGCCCCCCCCCACAGTCACATGACTGCACTTGGGCAGTGGGCTACATTTATGACCATTTGCAGCATCTTGTGGTCACATAACCATGTTTTATTACACTTTTGCTGGAAACCAGCAGTTGCTTCCTGTTTTAGGCAAGACCAGCTACATAGGAAACCATTGGTTTGCTTTATGACCACGGCAGTCACTTAACAACTACCACAAAAAAGGTTGTAAAATATGGCCATGTTGATTTACAGCCATAATGGGCAGGCTCCATTATGGTCATAACTAGAGGACTACCTGTAAGTAAGTTAAGATGGTAGAGAACATCCTGAAAGTCTAAAGGAAGTGGGAGACAACTTCATCCATTTGCTTTCTGGTAAGTGGTACTTTGTGTTTATCTATGGCCACCTTATGAGACTGCTATATGTTTTAGGTTTTATACTTTTTAATGTTCTGTCCATGTTCATTCCTCCAGGCATAGAATCTACATAGAAATAGCCTGTCATAAATTGTACTACCCAGATTGTCAAGTTCTATTCTCCATCAATAGCAAGGCTGGCAAGTGGTACCATCCTTACCAGTTTCAATGTAGCTCAAGCCATGAAAAACATTTAATGGATTCTCTTGGCTTTATTTCCCCCCCACCCCCCCCCCACCCCACTGGATATTATCTGCCTATCGGAAAAACAAGTGATAGGACAAGCTGGGCAAGTGTAGGCAAGTATCTGGAATGTGAGATTTAGCTGTCTTTCAAGCTTTGCAAGTGACAAGTTGCAGATGCTGAAATGTTCTGCAACTATGATTTTAAAACATGGGTCTAGCACGTGCAACAAATAGTGACAGGACGCAGGTAACACAGAGAGCTTGTGAGGATCATCTGGCATGTTGTAAACCTGTCCTCCGTGCCTGTGACCCCCTCAATCAAGCTATTTCTGAGAGAAGGTTTAGTGCTCTTTTGGAAAAATGCTAGCTCAATATCCAAATTAAGCTGAATGGTGCAGTGCCCTCTTATGACAGTGCCTGTGATCTCAGGATATTCACTAGTATCCCAATTAATTACACTAAGAGAAATATTCTTTGCCTCCTGATAAATGCTTGGGTCAGTAGTTTTGTTAATCTGTCTCAGTTTGTATTTTAATATATGAGTACAATCTCAGTTTGTGTTTTAATATATGAGTAGGTTTTATGTTACGCATCTGTACATGTTTGGACATTTTTTAATGTAAGTGCCCTAGCTCCTTTTTACCATCCATTGGGTGGTTAGGATGATAATTAGTTAAAAATGTAATAAAGTTTCTTTTACTTGGTGTATAACTCAAAGTAATTGTTTTAAATGTAAGGTATATATTTAAATCTGAATTGTAAGGTATATATCTAAATTTGAGTTTTGCATGAATGGTTAGATAACTTGATAATAATCTTTTGCTGTAATGCCTGCAACTGCTATTTATTTCTCTGTAAAATATACTGGGGCACTGGAGTGAGTTCAGATTATTTATTAAACATTTTTCTTTTTTGCTTGTTCTGGTTCAGATGGAATAGCTGCCGGGAGGGGCGGGGGGGGAGGATGGTGTTCTATGTTCAGCCAGCCACAACAATGTTCCTGATTTTGGAAGCAGGAAAAGAGGGAGTGAGGATTCTAATTTTCTTCTCAACCAATTCTTCAATATATTGACTGACAATGTAACACTACAGCAGTAAAACAACAACACCATTGTTCAGATATTTTACTGATGTTATATATCTGTTTCTTTCATGGATCTTTGGTTTCTACCACCACTAATCGTGGGATCACTGGATTTTACTGAACAAATATGTGTAACTCTTACACTTGGCTTTGTTCCTAGAAATATGGAATATATGTTTACTAAATGGGTTTAGAGAAAGTAGGCTTTTCAATAAATATGTAAGTTTATATGATTGAAAATGAATTACAGCACTATATTATTTTCCTTAGTTTTAAGCATTTCCATTATAATCATTCCTTTGTTGTTATTTTAGATATTGTTTGAATTATTTTTAATTAATTCTGAATGTAGGTAATTTTACAAATAAATGTGGAAAAACGGTCTTTCTGGTGGTTTCATATGATTTTTCTAATTTCATGCATCTTCTTGATAGATAAGTGATTATACTGGTTTGCATGAATTTTATGAGTCATTTGTGGGTCATTTTATGGCTTGATAATAAGATACTATCTGTATCTTTTACAGTGATAGCGTTGCTGTCATTATTAAAATTTTCCTTACCAAAGACTTGCCAGGGCACCCTAGAACCTTTGAAGGTATACCGATAGGAAATAGAAAAGAAAACAGGTGTGAAGTTCCAACAATCTTCTATGAGTTAGCACATTTCTTTACTTCATGTGTGTAACATACATTTTAAGAACAGTCATACAATTCCTACCATTTGTAACATTCAGTACTTGATTTGCAATTTATCATGAGTACATTAGCTGGATTATGTTGGACCTAAATAAGCAATTTGCCATATGCTTTACTGTACAGTAACCAATTTGCAGATGTCTTTTTCAGAAAGATTCTATATATTAAAATCAGTGAAGGAGGTTGTAAGACTAGAACAATCTTTGCCTGAAGGTCAGTCTAGAATAGATGCATTTTTGCTTAGTATATAATTATTATGACAGGAGAATAATATTGATTGAGACCAATAGAGTAGAAGAGAGGATGTAACCTTTGCTCCCAATGCAGCCCTAATTTAAGTCTATTCCTGTCTTGTTAATCATGAATGCAAATTATAGTCTTAGTGGAACATGTTATCAGGCCGAACATCCTGTAAGGGTTATTCACTGTACAAAAAGCAATAACATGGTTATTGTGTTTGACTCTTAATCATTGGAGAATACAATGTGCTCTGCTAGATGGATTACATTTGATTAAATGTAAGGTGTTTCATAATAATATTCAAATTCTTAAGGAGGCAATGTTTGCAAAGAGAAAATGCAATACAGTGTGTTTTGGTTTCTTTGTATATTTATTAGGTAGGAATGCCAGAAAAAGTTACCCCAACCATCTTTCAAGTCTGCCTTTCTTATACTCTTAGAGCTAAACTTGCCCCTAACTGGAACCAAGCTGGTCACTTGTTGATACAAGGTAATTATTTGGAACCTCTGATAGTGAAAATGTTTTTATAGTGTTAGATATGTTCTGCATGATGCATATATTTATTATTAACTATAGTTGTTAAAATATTGTTCAATAAGTCTGAGTACAGATAGTCCTCAACTTACAATGGTAATTGATCCTGCAATTACAGTCGTAAGTCATGATGGTCATTATGGTGGTTTATCAAGTCACCTGTGCTTTGCAAAAATTTTGAAATTTCTGTTAACCTAGTAATAATGGCTCAGTTTAGGCATCATAAAATAGAAAACAAATTCTTCAACTGATTCTTCATTTCTGAAAATATTTCAAATGTAGACTGTATAATTTCAAGATCAGCCACTTCTACCTCCAATTCTTTATCATTTGAAAATTCCTCAAAACTGAAAGTTTGCACAATATTTTATATGTGTATGTGAGTAATATACATATTGCTTTATTTTTATGTAGTTATGGTCAACATAAATATGTTTAGATACCATTAAAATCTGCACTTTCCTCTTGAAATTGCAATCTACCAATTCCCTAATTAGGTTGGCTGACTCAATATTGCTGAGCTAGGTTATGATATGTATTTAAGGATGGTACATTTATAGCTTTTAAAAAGCAGGTTCAAGAGCAGTGATGTAGTTACTGTTTTGCCAGGAACCATCAGGTAATTGGGACCACTGTCTTAGTTCCTATCTCTTCCCTAGGATTTTTATGGCCATTCATGAGAAACTTCCACCTGACATGACTCCTCCTCCAGAAGATTGGAGGCCCAGTTAAGTAGAGAAGTCCTAGGGCCTTGACATAGAACTTGGATCAGAATGCAAGAAGACCAGAGCCATGTCATCTTAGTTAATGGACTTTGGTTCCAAGCTTTAGTTATGGAGGCCAGAGGGGAGGATCTTTAAGCCTCTTTAAGAACTGATGGGACCATTCCCCCTCCCAAGGAGTAGTTAACTACCACCCAGACCCAATCATGCTTCTCTCCCTGTGGCCATTTATCAAATGATACATCCCTCTTTAATACATAAGGAATATGTTGCAATGCAAACATTACATAAACAATGTATAACAAAATATAAACATATTTTCCTCATCAGACATTGCTTTCGTAAAGTTTTAATTTTGAGTTATAATACAGCATTTTCATATTTTTAAGGGAGAAATTTTTTGTCACAGATGGGAAAGCAAAATGCAGTTGGTGAGTACACTATGAATAAATATTTTTTTTCACTCTTAAAGACCTGGAATTACCTTAGATATATTTTGTACATGCTCTTGGTTAAAAAAAAAAAAAGAATGAAGAAAATCAATGGTATATCAAATGTAACCTACAGAGATTATCAGTTGAGCAACTGCTAGGCATATAAATTTATCTATCAAAATGATTGAAATCAAGACTGAGAGTCACCATGCAAGCAAATAATGAAGACCTATACCACTGCTTTGTTTACTTGTTAGTCCTGTTCAGGGGTGGGATGCTACCGGTTTGGCCTGGTTCTATAGAATATGTAGCTGCAAAGAGCAGCTGACACCGAACCAGTTTGGTGTTTGGCCCACCCGTCTGCCCGGGCTCTAGGCTGTCTTTTATTCCCTGCTTTTCCCTTCTCAGCTGTTTTGCACGGCACAGCTAAGGTTGAAAAAGCAGGAAACGAGGATTTTTAAACGCACCCAAGCGCAGCACTTGTCAGCTGTCCAGGTGGCACAGCTGATGATTTCTTACAAACGCTGCACACACGATTGTCCCCAGTTCGGAGAACTGGCAAATCGCTCCATTGGCTGGCCCCGGCCCGCCTCGCCCACTCATTCCTTACCTGGGAAGCAAGCCATCCAACTTGCCTGGTTTGGTAAGTTGCTATTTTTCCTTCCCCCCCGCCTCCCCCACCATTAGCTGTTCTGCTCTGCCAGGAGATTTAGATTAGCTAGAAAGCAGGAAATCCTTGGAGAGCAGAAAGCAGAACCGAACCTTTCTTAGGACTGAAGCTTTTCAGTGCAGACTCAGATAGCTGATTGCAGATAGAGAGATCTCTAAGTTAACCTGTGATTCTGTGATCAACTCAATCTGCCTGCCTGCTTTGCCTGCTTTAGGGTAAAAATTGCTTTTTAAAAAATAAAAAATTCAATATTTACATACATGGTGTGTAGTGAGTTAATTTTGTGAGTTTGCTTACAAGCAAATTTTATGTGACAGACTCAGATAGCCGATTGCAGATAGATAAATCTCTGTGAATCTGTGATTCTGTGAGCAACTCAATCTGCCTGCCTGCTTTGCCTGCTTTTGGGTAAAAGTTGCTCTTTTTTAATAAAAAAAATCAATATTTACATAAATATTTATAATATTTACATAAAAGCCATGCCCACTCAGTCACATGACCACCAAGCCACACCCACAAATTAGGCCACACCCACAGAACCAGCTGTTAAGAAATTTGAATCCCACCCCTGGTCCTGGTCCTGCTTAGCAATATTTAAAGATGTAAGCAACCACAAGCAATTATTTAAAAAATATTAAATTAAAATGATTAAAATTTATTAAAAAATAAAAAATGTGATTTCACTTAAACTTTATGGACTCATGGACTGTTAAGTCACTTGGTCACTCCTGCTTTAGAATTCAGTATAAATTTTCTCTTATACACTTATAGGGAAAGTAGGGATATATGAAAATGCTGTATACTGGATCTTATGAATTTTATTTCAGTTGTGGATATCACTGTATCAGAAACTCAACTTTGCATCAGTGTGGAAATATGCAGGATATGTTTACCACTACCTGAGGTACAGAATTAATGTAACTTTTTACATTTGCATTTTATGGGGCTTCATTGTGCTTGTGCATCAAGGGCTACTTAAGATTCTTTTACATAATAGAAAATCAACAATTGTTAAGCCATTCATCTCACTTTTTAATTTCTGTCTTTCCTCTTTTCTCCAAACTACCATGTATTTTTTCTTGTGGTCTAAAACAAGGGTCCCCAACCTTGGCAACTTTAAGACTTGTGGACTTCAACTCCCAGAGTTTGCCAGCTTTGCCAGCTTTGCTGGCTGAGAAACTCTGGGAGTTGAAGTCCACAAGTCTTAAAGTTGCCAAGGTTGGAGACCCCTGGTCTAAAATACACACACACACACACACATTTTCTCTTTAAAAATTAATTATTGGGTGAACATTTGCCAAGAAAACAAGTGTTTTTTAATATATCATCATATCTCTCAGATGCATACAAAAATTATCAGGCATAATCTTCATCTTACTGAAGAGTTGTGTTGGTGATTTCTGATCTATCAGTGAGATTTTAAAAGAAAGGTATTCAGATATTGAGAAAACTAATTAGGTGTAAAAGTTAAGGCATCAGTCCGGAAATCAGGAGAGTGTGAGTTCTAGTGTTACCTTAAGCCCAAAGCCAGATCAATGACCTTGGGCCAGTAACTCACTCTCAGACATTGTAAACAGGCATGGCAAACGGCTTCCGAAATCTTGCCACGAAAACTGCAGTGACTAATCCAAACATATCCCAAGAGTCAGCAACGACTTGAAGGGACAAAAAGAAAGAAAAAGAAGGGAGGAAGGAAGGAAGGAAGGAAGGAAGGAAGGAAGGAAGGAAGGAAGGACAACAATAACACGATTTATAGGTGTATTTCTGATTATGACCACAATCAAGGTTTACTGGTTATTTTTAACTCATTAGAAAGAAAATTGGGTACTTAAATTTAAAAACATGCATTTTTCTTTTAATGCTGTAATTTATTTTAATATACATATTTTTGCAGTAAATTGTAAATCACAGATCCATACTGAGAGTAATTTCAAAGTCTGAAAGGATTTAAATGACTGCTTTATTAGGCATCCCTTAATTTTATAGCATGATTTTTATGAAGAGATTTAGTTATTAAAATGTAATTTCCATTACAAATGTAGTAACTAAAGCTTTTAATGAAAGCTTTTGTGCAATATTATTTTAACATATATTACTTTCTGTTTTATACTTTTATACCTAACCTTTCAAAAATTGCTGTATTGATTTATTTTTATTTTAGCTTGAAGATTTTGATATTTCAACAAATATCATAAAGAACTTTAACAATGATACTACTGCAGTCATTTCAGAATATTCTATTTTAAGTAATTGGTGTTATGTTTTACCAAGGTATGTTTTTCATAATTTACAAGGAATTGTACTAAGATGAATGAAACTTTTCCTACAATATATTTTTATTACAGTAAAGATATTAGTGATAGGAGTTACTGAGAAAAGGTTTTCATTCTCAGGGTTTCGTGAATATTTAGACTAATTTTTTAAAATATAAATTCAAAAACAAACAACTTTGAGTAGTAACATAACCAAACAAATATCTTCTTTAAATTTGAACAGGCATTTTTGAAAACTCAAGTATAATATTTAGTTCTTTCCACTTAATTCTAAATAACAAGTTCACATCTGTGAGCAAGACTACCCTACAGAAAAAAATCCAGTTGTATAGTTTATTTCTTTGGGTTTTAATAATGCTAGAACAACAGTCAAGCAACATATTTGGGAATTACAATGGGGTTCCAGTCATCTGTATGCAGGTTTGGTTTTTAACAGCCTGCCTTCTACCAACTTCATTTCCAATATCATATTACAGTAGGACTTTTTCATTAGTTCTGTGTGCAATACTAATGAGGGGCAGATGTTGGTATATCACTTGAGCCATGTTTCTGCTTCAGTGGATTGGTGAAGTGGAAATAGTAACTTTGTTATTTTATGGTATGGCTTTATAGACATATTTGAATAACAGATCATTCTTCTTTTATGGAATTTTCCAAGCAAGCAATCTCAATTCTGTATCTCATAACTCTTAATCAGCCTGAACATTTGCAGTGATCTAGTAATTATGATGCCCAACTGTTTGTAGAACTTGGTGTCCCTTTTAACTTTCGCTTTAAGCTTTTGGATTATTTAAATCCAGATGTGTCTACTCTTTTTGTATGCTAAATGCTGATTCATAATAATAAACTAAACAAGCCTCCCCCATCAGTGAAGAAATCCAGCAAAGAATCATACCCAGAGAGAAATCATCCAGATGCCCGAAGCTTTATGGTCTCCCCAAGATACACAAAGAAGGAACTCCACTTAGACCAATAGTCAGCTCCATAGGCTCACCTCTACAAAACCTAGCCAAATTTCTCGTCAAACAACTACAGCCCTATGCAGAATCCATCAACTCACATGTAAGAAACTCATTCCAGTTCATCGAGATCATAAAGAAACAAAACTTACAACCCAGCGACCTACTAGTGAGCTTCGATGTCATATCCCTCTTCACCCAAGTGCCAATAAAAGAAGCCTTGACAGCCATCCAAAACAAATACAACCCCCCTCAGCACATCCTAGATCTGACCAACCACTGTCTATCCAATACATACTTCACCTACAACGGACAAAAATACAAACAAATAGAAGGAGCACCCATGGGATCACCCCTCTCACCTGTCATCGCAAACCTCTACATGGAACACTTTGAAACACAAGCTCTAGAAAAATATGATCACAAACCCAAACTCTGGCTCAGATACGTAGATGACACCTTCATAATCTGGCCACACGGGAAAGAAAAACTGAACAACTTCCTCACACACCTCAACAGCCTACACCCCAAAATACAATTCACCATGGAAACAGAAGCTAACAATCAACTTCCCTTCCTAGATGTCTTGGTATACAAAAAACCCAATGGCTCCCTAGGACACACCATCTACCAGAAGAAAACACATACAAACCGCTATCTACATGCACTCTCACACCACCACCCAGCACAGATCAATTCCGTAGCTGAGACACTCATCTCCAGAACAAAATGCTTAGCTGATGAACAACACCTAAAAACCGAACTAAACACTCTCACCAACGTACTAACAGCCAATGGATTCCAAAGAAAGAAGATTATCCACCTAATCCAAAAAGAAACCCCAACCAAAATCCAAGACAGAGAACAAGAGAACGGCAAAGCCCTCCTCCCATATATAAAAGGCACTACAGACAAAATCAGCAAGATCCTCCAAAAACACAACATTAAAACAGCATTCTGCACAAACAGAAAAATATCCACCATCCTAAGAAACCCTAAAGACAAAATCGAGTTAGAAAACCAAGGAGTATA